AGAATCGGCGTTCTCGGGGTCCAACGTTACAGGATTGTGTTACATGCTGGTCTTAAATTTCACAACAGGTTTTGTGGCAGACTTTGTTGAAGCAGAGGTGGAGAGACGTTCACACTGTCAGTGTGTGAACAATCATTCTGGCTTTCTCTTTCTCTGTGCAGGTGCAGCACAGGATCACAGGGCAGGTGATGGCACTGAAAATGAACACGCTGGCTAGCAACAAAGCTAACATGCTACGAGAAGTCCAGCTCATGAACAGGCTGTGCCATCCCAACATTCTTAGGTGGGTGTAAATGTGTTGGTTAAACATTCACTGTTCAATGTTCGATTTTGATCACAGTGAGATTTGAAGAACATTTTGCCCCTTAAATAAATTTACTCTGCTGATCTTTGTCTAATATTAACATCTGTTCGATAATCTGAAATATGTAAGTGTGACATGTACCAAAAAGATACAAATGAGCAAGGGGGCAAATAGCTTTTAAAAGCACTGTGTATATGTTGTACATTAGTGTTTGTTCTGTATTTATTGCATGAATAAGACCTTTGCCAGAGTTAACTTCAGCACATTTTAACAGGTTCACTCAAAAGAAAAAATCAAAAAAAGGTTTTTTACACTTTTGTAGACTTTAAAATGGAAATCCCATTTCCCCTCATAAACATCCGATCAAAAACGAATCATATTGAAGTTTAAAATGTGTAATAATAACAATTTACAACAATTTACAAAGTCTAAAGTTTTAAAGTTGTGATCAAATGTTCTGTCGTTCCTCTGAGGGACACAGGGGGGCGCCATATCAACACATTCCGAGCTGTCCATCGATGGATGGGCGTCATGGTTACTGACATGTAGAAGTGATTAAATCGTGTTTCTTGACTTCCTGTCAGGTTTCTCGGGGTTTGTGTGCATGAAGGTCAGCTGCACGCTTTGACTGAGGTAAGACTTTTGTTTTGTCCTCTTCGTGCTGACAACATCTCCACAGCTACACCTTATTCTCATGTCTCTCCTCCTATATTCATTTAGAAGTTGTGCAAAGACGACATTCAAACATTCAAAAGCAAAAATGTAAAGTCCCATTTAGAGAGGCATATTTCATCATCACATCAGGGTCCCTGGAGGACCAGGGGATTAAATTAGTGATCTGTTCAAACGTCCCACGTTGAGCAGCTCTGTATGTGTTTGGGCAGCTTTCCTGCTTCATATAGTTTCCTTAATGCAGTGAATGCTTGCACTGGGCAGCAGGTCTGAGGTTGGGACACATGTTTTAAACTGTGTGCTGGGAAGAATCCCCTGACTGGTTTACAGTGGGAGACATGGCACCTGTGATTTGAGTTGGTCAGACCACAGGACCGCTTCCCTCCTGAGATACATGAGCTTGCAGCATTTCTGGATCTTGCTTGTATCTGGCTCTATCGTCTGTTTCTGTGCAGTACATAAACGGGGGTAACCTGGAGCAGCTGTTGGACAGTGACCTGTATCTGTCGTGGGGAGTCAGGATGGCTCTGTCTCTGGATATCGCCCAAGGGCTGCAGTACCTGCACAGTAAGGGCATATTCCACAGGGACCTCACGTCCAAGGTACAGCACACGAGTCGCATAGCTGCACTGACGAAAGCAACGACAAAAATGAAACTTTTTAAATTGTACTTCTGTCTCTCTAGTTGTTAGAGTGAGACTCTCTGAAGTGGTTTAAAATGTTTTTACCAGCCGTTGTTTGCATATATTCATTTCTCGACGGTTCATCTGTTGCAGAATTGTCTGGTTCGCTGTGAAAATGGCACGTTCACTGCTGTGGTGGGAGACTTTGGCCTGGCAGAGAAGATCCCTGATTACAGGTGCAGGACGAAGCTTTTCTCTCCTGAGCTTCTATAAACTTGGTCTGTTTGTGCTCAGGTACCAGAATGTGTCCCAGACATCAAAAGGAAAATGGAAACATCGTAACCTTCTATGAAAAAGTCAAACCCAGCGATTCTCCACTCCAGCTCTGATCGTTCTCACATAAATGGGACTTAATATTCAAACGTTATATTCATTCTTTCATGTATGATCTACAAAGTGATCATTGGCAGGATTTTTTTAAGTGTGATTAGATGATGAAGAGCATTCACATTAGGTTCCTAATGACAGACCGGTCCACTCTCTTTACAGTGACGGTTCAGAGAAACAGCCTCTGGCCATCGTGGGCTCTCCGTACTGGATGGCCCCTGAGGTTCTGAGAGGAGAACTTTACAACGAGAAGGTGAGCGTCTTTGGTTCTGTAAAACTGGAGTACAGTATTAGAGTGTAATCTTTGACACATATCGTGACCCTCCTTCCTTTATTTAATTATAAACAATGAACTCTTTACTCGGCACGAGGCAGTGGCTAATATTAGCTAATGTTAACAAACTGTCTGACCCTCTGTTTTCTCTTTTTTTACTTGTTATTTTGAACATGTTGGTATTTGTGTTGTCTTTGTGCGTTTGTAGAATTGACAAACACAGGATACTGAGTGACCAGTATCCTTTCACACAGTTACATATGATGGGTTGGGGCTAGCTTACAACTGTGCTAACTGTGTGCTGTAACTAGCAGCTGCTACAACAGTGTGTAACTATAGGAACATTTCTCAGTGTAAGCAGCCAAGCA